CTCAAGTAATCCTCCAAAGTATTGAAATTACAGGCATGAACCACCACACCTGGCCTAGTAATTCTTTTGCAAGATCTTGTAACTCAAAATTGATAAGTTACAAGATCTCGCAAAAGAATTACTAGGATTTTAAAAATTAATATTTTTGTTTGGGGAATTGTGATGAGGCAGGGTTTAAAGTTTTTTACTCTATACAGACATTCCAGCTAAAACTAGATTATAACGATGACAAATGAACTGAAATAGAGCAAAATAATCAAAATTCAAATTAACTATTTTTAAACTTGTATTTTATATTTTAATTCATTCTTTGGATTATCAGAAGTCTGGGAATTAACTTTATTATTATTATTATATTTTGCTTTGCAAATGAATCTGGGCATTCAAATTTACATCTGTTCTCAAAATCAGGAACATTAAAATGTTAAACTCTGGATATAGATACAAATGAAATGAACATAGCTAGAGGAATGTAATCTGTAAAAGTAGAAAGATATATTCTGAAGGGTCCAAGAATAGGTTTTTGAGTCAGATAGACAGTTTGAAACCACTGTATGCCATTTTATGGTACTACTAGCTTTATGATCTTGGGCATGTTAATTATCTGAGTCTTAGCTACATCTGAAAACTAGTGAAAATGTCACCTATCTCCATAGGTTTGATAGGCTATAATGAGGTAATATTTTAAACATTCTGGTATAGTATCTACATAATATCTTAAGCATCCAGTCATGGTAACTGTTAATGTTAAAGACCCAATTGAAAATTACTTGAAACAAAATTTTCTCATTACTGTTTATAAAAAAATTTAGGTAATTCATAGGTTCTTGGTAGCCTAAACAATGAATCCAAAACAAAGATTGAAGATAGATTGAAAGATTAAGGCGGATCTCAAAGAGAATTAATTTGTAGGGAGCAGTTAGATGAGAAAGGAGGCAACTGATGGAGACATTTAATTTTTATTACTGAGTAGCATTTTAGGAATAGGTAAAGGGGTTTAAATTGTGTACTGGCTGCAGATGGGCCATAACCCAATTTGCCTTACAAAATTTATACCTTTTTATTGAGTATTCACTGTGCTCAAGATAGAGCTTTTCCCTTATTTTTTATGTGTCTACTAAGGCCTACAAGATTGGAAGATATGGCTTTGAAATCCTTTGTTTAGGGAATGACACGTAACTAAAATTCCAAATTAGTTTATTCTTTTCATGAGTTCTGAGATCAAGCCATGGAATATATGTGGAAGCTCCTTAGGCACAGGTCTTGACAACTGAGAATTTCATACAAGGCGAATACAGCCCAGGGTGTTAAACAATACACAGAGAAATGTTCCAATACCACGTGTACTATCAAAGATCAATATAAATCAGGATCTAGTATAGGTCATAATAATAATTATAATTATTATTTTGAGACAGTCTCACATTGGCTAGCATAACCTCAGCTCACTGCAACCTTTGCCTCCTGGATTCAAGTGATTCTTCTGCCACCTGCCTCAGCCTCCCATGTAGCTGGGACTACAAATGCATGCCACCATGCCCGGCTAATTTTTTGTATTTTTAATAGAGATGGGGTTTCACCATGTTAGCCAGGATGGATAATAATTTTTTTTTAAGATGGTGGTATTAGCAGTGGTTGATTCCAACCAAAAAACCATAACAACAGCTTCTTTTTAAAATGCTGGCAAGGCCGGGTGCGGTGGCTCAAGCCTGTAATCCCAGCACTTTGGGAGGCCGAGGCGGGTGGATCACGAGGTCAAGAGATTGAGACCATCCTGGTCAACATGGTGAAAACCCGACTCTACTAAAAATACAAAAAATTAGCTGGGCGTGGTGGTGTGTGCCTGTAATCCCAGCTACTCAGGAGGCTGAGGCAGGAGAATTGCCTGAACCCAGGAGGCGGAGGTTGCGATGAGCCAAGATCGCACCACTGCACTCCAGCCTGGGTAACATGAGTGAAACTCCGTCTCAAAAAAAAACAAACGAACAAAAAAAAACGCTGGCAAATTTATTTTTATTTTTTATTTTTTTAGAGTCTTGCTCTGTCACCCAGACTGGAGTACAGTTGCACTATCTTAGCTCACTGCAACCTCTGCCTCCTGGGTTCAAGAGATGCTCATTCCTCAGCCTCCAGAATCACTGAGATTACAGGTGTGCACCACCACGCCCAGCTAATTTTTTGTATTTTTAGTAGAGATCAGGTTTCACTATGTTGGCCAGGCTGGTCTCGAACTCCTGTCCTCAAGTGATCTACCTGTCCTTGGCCTTCCAAAGTGCTGGGATTATAAGCGTGAGCCACCGCGGCTGGCCTAGTTCATTCTTTTAACATTTTTCTTTTCTTTGGAAGACGGTGTCACTTGATTGTCCAGGCTGGAGTGCAGTGGTGCAATCATGACTCACTGCAGCCTTGACCTCCTGAGCTCAAGAAATCCTCCCACCTGAGCATCCCAAGTAGCTGAGACCACAGCATATGCCAGCACACTTAGCTAATTTTTTGATTTTTAGTATAGATGAGATCTCATTATGTTACCTAGGCCATCTCAAACTCCTGGCCTCAAGTGATCCTCCTGCCTTGACCTCCCAAAGTGCTGGGATTATAGGCATAAGCCACCATGCCCAGCCCAATATTTTTCCTTTATCTTTAAACAATGCTTTTGATACAAAAATTAGCCAGGTGTGGTGGCGCATACCTGTAATCTCAGCTACATGGGAGGCTAAGGCAGGAGAATTGCTTGGACCCAGGAGCTGGAGGTTGCAGTTCAGAATGCGATTTGAACTAATGAGAGGTTATAGCTCAGGGTTTTATGCAATATATGGTATATAGATCACTTTTCAAAAATCTGGAAAATTCTGAATTTTGAAATACATTTGGCCTAAGGCTTTCGATAAGAGCCTATAGACTTTTAAGTCACATATTCAAATATACCACACACCCTGGAGAGGAGTGGGACAGTGCCTCTTAAGAGACATAATTTATTCTGACTACGCTTGGATAGCAGAACCTCCACCTGGAAAGAAGTGGGAACTCATCTAGATAAATTGAGTGTGCCTGGTCTCTCAGATGAGTACCACTGGAGAACAACTGGTATGGACTGAGCCTTGGGACAATTCTAAAAAACGGCACACCTGGGGAAAAGGAATATACCCATTAAGGCTGGGGGTGAAGAAATGATGAGAACTCTAAGAAAGGAGCTTTTCTTTTGTCTTGGGTTAGAGTACCAAAGGCAAACCTTAGCAAAAAATATGTCCCTGAGTAATGACATGAAAGTAAAACAAAACAGCAATAAAAACCTTGTGTCTAACACCTTCTAGAACATACCTAGAGGCATTAGACGGAACAGCCTTATAAAGAGTATGCCTTTATTTTGGTAGCTCTTACAGAGATTTTGCTTTAAGAGCTATAATCACAAGCTAGATAGGGGAACTTCCAGGCTTCTATGAGTCAGCACATAACTGATGCTTCTGTGCAAAGACCTAGCTACTCTGGATGGTTAGGCAAGCAGCCAGATCAGGAGAAAGGGACTACACCAGTAGAGGGCCTATCATATAGATGGTAGACTTTCTTTTTTT